TCGAATATTTACCTATCCATCATGCTCTGAATGCACAATCCAATTGTCAAGTGCAGTGTTTTCGTGACGACTGTCAACACATGTCTTCAGTAGTATAATTTTCGGAAACTTGTCTATCTGTCATTCTCATTTAACACAATCGAGCTGTCATGTCTATTGGGATTGTGATGCTGTCAGTACTTGTCTTCTCTATTATCAATAATTTCATATTTAATTCGTAATCTACCCTATCTCTCATTCTCATATGGCACAATCCAATTGTCCGGTGCAGTGGTATCGAAAAACAGGCGGTCGCGGAGAAGGACAACCAGGATCAGAAGCAGAAGGTAGCACGACACCCCCAGCAAATCATGAACCTTATCGCCAAGGAAGCTGAATGTGATGGTGTGTGCCGAGGAAGTTGAGAACGTCCTAGATGTTGGCAGTGACCAACATGCGTGTATGCAGATGCGCGTGTGGTTGTGTGTGTTTGTGTCACGGCATACACATCCGCTTCATCGAGGACTTGTACGTATACTCTTATCTATACTTATACTCATACTCATTCTTTCACAGATACTAGCAATTATATACTTATCCGTATACTTGTACTCAGAATCATACTTATGCTTATACCTGTACTTTTACCTACACTTACACGTTCACGTACACTTTTAATTTAACTTCTACTTTTACTTTTACCTATTTATTAATATTAATACTAATACTTCCACCTATGATTATATTCATACTATTTAACTTACTATACTTGTATACTTTTATTACATACATAGAACCATTTCCAAATTTATTTATACATTTTTACTACCACGTGTTGCTTGATCCACTCCAGTGCAGTCGATGAAATTGTCTACTTCAATATCTGTGTTGTGGATGCTGTTCTCGCCACCACCGATACTGCTACTTACTACTTTTACTTACTGTACCTATACTCATCTTCATACTAAGTCTAATCCTATACTTAACTTCATACTAAGTCTAATAACTTTACTACTACACGTCTTCTCGCGTTATGTGGTGCAGTGGATGACATTGTTGACTTTGATATCTGTGTTGTGGATGCTGTGCCCGCCACCGTCGCCGGCCTCGAGGACGAGTTTGTATTTGCGCCTCGCTTGGACAATCTATGCCATTGCTACTGCACTACCCAGGTATTGGTGTGATGTTACAGGAGTACCCATATATACGTGAGTATGTATAACATATATACGTGAGCA